CATTCCACGAGGAATAATGCTTATTCCAAAATAACTATTTTGGAATAGCAGTAGTGTGGATGCTCCACTGCTGCTATTTCAAAATAGCTTCTCCCCAGGACCATTCAGAGTAATTACTTCCCAGGGCCTCCTGGGGCTCTGAATCGAGGTAGCACGTCCATATTAGGGAAGCCTGCCTCGGACTAATTTTGAGACTTCCCTGTAGTATAGATGTGCTATTTTGAAATAAGCTATTTCAGAGTATTTCTTCCAGAATAGCTTATTTTGAAATAAGCGTGCCGTGTAGATGTATACTGAGCGAATAAATCCCTGGGATTCTGTTCCATTGGGTGTACATGCTCAGCCCATTGTTTTCAATTCATAGTTGAATGTGATACAATTTTTGGTTGGATTGTTTGAGAATGAAAGAGTTACCAGGAAGGGAAGTGATTAGAGAAAATATCCAGGAGAAAGTTTGGAATTTCAAAACTTTGTCTATATATTTTATTAGGAAGCATCTTTTTCCACACAGATTATTCTGGATATTGGGGGTTTACTTCTGTTCATTGAATTAATGACCAGTTATCGACAGTAAGGTGCAGCAAGTTTGTTACAAATAGACAGCTGTGAGAACCTCTCTCCTGCATCTCTATCAGCTGCAAATAATCCAAAGAGCCAGAATAATGACTTTTCCCCCTTCCTGTGTTTATGTGGGGAAAGAAAGGGCAAATTCTTCAATTCTAACATATGGAAGTTGGGCATGCCCATGGCTCCTGACTCCTAGCCCTATTCACTGGACCTTAAGAAGCAATGGGCAAGATTATTTCTAGGGTCCCTCACTTCAGTACATTATCAACAAGCACACAAAATTCAGGATGTCCATCTGATTCAAAAGTGCCCTACCTTTGCTCAGCAGCTTCCCTAGAGCGCCATCTCATTCTTTTCTCTCTGGGTACATCTAAACTACATCCCTTTTTCGATAAAGGGATGTAAATTAGACAGATTGAAACTGTAAATGAAGATGTGATTTGAATTTCCTGTGCTTCATTTACATAATGGCGGCTGCAGCTTTTTTTCAAAAAGCCGCTTTTTGAAAAAAAACCCGTGGGCAAGAAACTACTGTTATTTTGGCAGAGCAATGAGGTGAGTCCTGTAATAAACCACTTGTGCAGAGCAATAAAAACACCACTTACAGCTAATCTAGCTGCCTTTTCCAGAAGGGCTTTCCTCCCAGAGGAGCAACATTTCTCAATTTACTCATCTCCTTCAGGATTTGTTTGCTTGTTTGTTTATTCTGTGATTGGTTTTACATGGAAAAGCTGTCCTGGAACAAAGACAAATGGATTCAAATTCATAGCAAGGTAGCTTTCAAGTCTGATCACTGGGGTCTCTTCAAACATATTAGAAATGATGAGAGAGATGGGATAATCAGAAGAGGAGTCCAAAGGGATTGGTCTCTTTAAATGAGTGAGGATTTTGCTGAATAATTTAGTGTAAATCCACAGTGTGTGTGTTGATTCCAGAGGAGCACCTCTGAACTCAGTCATATAAACTGGTCAGAATGTGTCCAGCCACTTTCCTAAAGCTTCCTTTTTGGAAGCTTACGAAAAGTGGAAACTTGGACAAATGACCAGAGAGGGGTTTAAATGTATAGCTCGAGAATGCCGGGGGGTTATCAGGAAGACGAAAGCACAAGTGGAATTGCGACTGGCAAAGGATGTGAAGGATAACAAGAAAGGTTTCTACAGGCATGTTAACAAGAAGAAGGTGATCAGAGAGGGTGTGAGTCCCCTACTGGATGAAGGAGGTAACCTAGTGACAGCTGATGTGGGGAAAGCTGAAGCACTCAATGCTTTCTTTGCCTCTGTATTCATGGACAAGGTCGGCTCCTAGACTAATGCGCAAAGTGACACAAGATGGGATGAAGATGGACAGCCCTTGGTGGGTAAAGAACAGGTTAGGAACTATTTAGAAAAGCTAAACATACACAAATCCATGAGTCCAGACTTAATGCATCCAAGGGTGCTGAGGGAGTTGGCAAATGTCATTGAGGAGCCTTTGGCCATTATCTTTGAAAAGTCATGGAGATCGGGAGAGATCCTGGATGATTGGAAAAAGGCAAATGTAGTGCCCATCTTCAAAAAAGTAATTTATCTCTGGTTAGCTGTGCTCCTGGAGCTGGCATTCCCTGCATCTCCCTGAGAAGGTCAGAGCAGGGGTTCTCCACATGCTGTCCTTGCCAGCAGACACCACTCCTGCAGCTCCCATTGATCAATAATGGAGAACTGTGGCCAGTGGAGGCTGTGGGGTTGGTGCCTGTGGATGAGGGGCAAGATGTAGAACCATTGCTGAACACATCAACTGCTTTTAGGGATGGAGCTGTTTTGGCTCTGCTGCTCCAGCTGCTCTCCCAGGGTACACATGACTTAAACCCACCATTCTGTGCTCTCCATGAAACTGCCTGATCCCCTAGTCTATTCCAGAGCCCACCCCACTATTCTTCCTTCAGAGGGTCCCTTATCCTGTGCTTGGTCACTCCCAGGGTGGGTGGAGAGGGTGGTTTGAAGGTAGGGAGGTAGAGTGGGATCTCCAGTCAACTTGGGGATGGACATTAGCCTCAGGAGCAGAGGGTGGTGGGCTTGATCCTGTCCCCTTCCATCCATTTAGGCAATAGCTGGGCAGCCAACACAGGTTGCCTGAGGAATGGACCGAGCTCCTGTATTAGGAAGGCAGGATAAGGGACCTGCTGAAGATAAGGTGGTGGGGTGGAGTGGTTTAGAAGATTGGGCATTTTCCTGGAGAACACATGCTTGCAGATTGAAACCAGAGAGCTAATACAGAACCCACCAAAAGTAGGGAGATTGGGTAGGTTCAGCTCTGGAGTAGCCTAGGGGATAAGTATATTCACCTGGAGAGCACGGGGTGGTGAATTCAAGTCTTAGGAGCAGCTGGACAGCCAACATAGGCTGTCCTAAGGAGCAACCAGGCTCCTGCATTAGGAAGGCAGGATAAGGGACCCCCCCCCAAAGACTAGGGGTGGGCTGACCCTTGAATGGCCCAGGGCAGTGCCTCTAAACCCCTAGGGGTACCCAAGAGGTCTAGGGGTACATCAGCACAACTGAAATTTGGAGAAAACTGAACTTGTTTTAAGTTTTACAGCATATATATTATTTTGGTACTTTTTACACCCAAATATTTCATCATCCACCCAACTACAATTAAGTTGTTTAAACAAATGTGTTGCAACATTAAAAAAAATTGTGAAAACTGTAGGTACTGGGTGGGTACTTTTTTTTTTAAAAGGGGTATTTTATAAAAAAAAAGTTGAGAAACACTGGCCCAGAGGAAAGGGCATTTGCCACACGCCCAACACTACAGCCTGCACCCCTACCCCAACCTGGTGAAAGTGAATGAGATTCGGGGAGGAAGGGCAACAGAGCGAGAAGGGCGAGGCCTCAGAGAAGGGGGGAGCAGGGGCAGAGGGAAGGAAGCCAGGCAAGAGTATTTGGGTTGAAGGTAGATCTTACATTGCACTTAAATTGAAAAAGTGATCTTGTGATTAAAAGGGTTGGAGACCCCGATCGAGGGGTTCCTCTTCATCCATCTAATGCAGAAGTGGCTTAAGACCCCACCCAGTAACCTGAGAAATTCACACACACACCCAGGCACCTCTGGGAGGTAAAGCTTCTCCACTTGCAAGCAAAGTTTGAGTGTAGAAAATAAACTTTTAATAAAAAGATGGGGAAGTAATTTGGGAAAACACCACAAACAGAGTTCATAACCAAAACCACAGATAAACGTCCCACCCCAAGTAGGTTGGGCAATGTCCTTTTCATTTCACGTTCTTAAATCCGGTAATGTAAATGTCCTCTTCACATGCCCCACCCTTCTCTGCACCCGCTCACTGTTGCTGCTCTTGTCCAGGGCAAACCCAGAATTCAGTGGTTACATCCGTAGAGTTCAATTCCCATCCTGAATGGTGGAGGGGAGGTAAAGAAGCATTTTATTCCACTGGTCACTGCTCTCTGCCACCACCCTGGTGGCCACTCATTACACCTCATCTCTCCACCAGTAGCCTATTGGCACTCAGTCAATATCTGTTGACATCTGCTTCTTGGCTGTGACTTCTGCCCATGAGTCTCAAATTCTTTCAGCTCCCAGTGATTTCAACTCCAAGCAAACAGGGTAGAAAAACACAACTCCAATACAATTAGCATAAGAAAAGAGGCATCTAATAATGCCTATGTAGCTCTGCTCTTCGAACAGTGGGGACGGGCAACTAGTCAAACACTCCAGGCAGGGAAAGCCATATAGCCTCCATCCCAGAATAACCTTCCCTCACCCTTTTCCCTCTCAGAGAGGTCTGAAAGTTGAGCCCCTGCATTTGCAAGATTCTTTCTGCTGTGAGATCTTTAATTTGGAACAATTTAGCACAGCCCTATTTTTCTGTAGTCCCACAAAATCACAAACATTGGTAACCGTATTTTAGCTATCCCTATATTTAATACAAACATAGTTGGTGCTGGGTCACAAATTAAATTGATTACAATGAGAAAATATCACTCTATCTGCTGAATATCTAACACATCTAAGCAGAGCAGAAGCAGACTGTATTTACACAGATACACCCAGGATTTCTCTCTCATTCCATCTCGCTGTAATGGAAACATTCCTGCAGATCCTGCTTAGATCAGTTTAGTGGGAAATGGTAGGGCATGTCTAGATAGCAGAGCTATATTGGGATACTGGAGGTATCCCAAAATAGCTATTCCACATCTTTTACACGTGCCTATTATTTCAAAATCTATTTTGAAATAATGGATGCACTATTCTGGCATTCCTTTAAGGATGTCTCAAAATAGTGCGTTATTTCAAAATTTGGTGCTGTGTGCAAATTGCGTGGCTTATTCCGAGATGAGAGTGCGGTCTAAATGCACCCTCAGAGAGGATTTTCCCTCCAAGACTGCCACTGAAATCTTTGTGTCTAATTTCATTTCTTTGTCTGTCTGTTTCTCTTTTAGGGCAGCATGTGGAAAACTTGGCTTAAAACACCCAGGATCATGCCACGAGAAAAAGAAGGAATAAAAGTGGATTTCTTGTTTTGAGTTAGCATAAAAAAGTTCTTATATAGAGACATAGTCTCTTTTTGTTCTTCTATATAGCAGTTGCAGATGGCACCACTATTCTTTGTTCAGTAAATTCTTTAAAAGTCTTTATTTTTCTTATTTTAAAGGGGGTTTAATAGCCCCTATGAAATCCTTCCTGTTTGTTATGAAGTGGCATTAGGCTGAAGCTAGATTCCCACTGTAAGTTTGATTTTTGTCTGTCCCTTCTCAAATCAGGAATCTAATCTTGAAATATCAAACACAGATCTGTGAGGCATTGCAGTAGAAGAGGGATTTCACATCTGATTCCGTTGCACTTCTCCATTTATCTGTGCTTCATGTTGTCTTACATTCATGTCTTACAGGAACGCCACTCATAGGAATGCAGATGGAGAGGGGAGCTAGTTAGGGTGTGTGTATATAAAAGCCATGGGACAATCATAGAATCATAGAGCTGTAAGAGACCTCAGGAGGTCATCAAGTCCAGCCCCTTGCCCTAAGCAGGAACAATCCCAACTAAATCAACCCAGCCAGGGCTTTGTCATGCAAGAACTTAGAACCTCTAGGGATGGAGATTCCACCACCTCCCTAGGTAATCCAATTCAGTGCTTCACCACCCTCCTAGTGAAATAGTTTTCCCTAATATTCAACCTAGACCTCCCCCACTGTAACTTGAGACCATTACTCCTTGTTCTGTTATCCATCACTACTAAGAACAGCCTCTCTCCATCCTTTTTGGAACCTCCGTTCAGGAAGTTGAAGACTGCTATCAAATCCCCCCTCACTCTTCTCTTTTGCAGACTAAATAAGTCCAAAACCCTCAGCCTCTTCTCGTAGGTTATGTGCTCCAGCACCCTAATCATTTTGGTCGCCCTCCTCTGAAGCCTCTCCAATGCGTCCACATCCTTTCTATAATGGGGGGCCCAGAACTGGACACAATACTTCAGATGTGGCCTCACCAGAGCCAAATAAAGGGGACTAATCATTTCTCTGGATCTGCTGGAAATGCTCTTCCTAATGCACCCTAATATTCCATTCATCTTCTTGGCTACAAGGGCACACTGTTGACTTATATCTAGCTTCTCATCCACTGTAATCCCCAGGGCTGTGTCTACACTGCACCCCTTTTCCGGAAAAGGGATGCAGATTAGACACCTCGGAATAGCAAAATCCACAGGGGATTTAATTATCCCCCGTGGTATTTGCATTAATATGGCTGGGGGCTTTTTCCGGCTTGGGGATAAGCCGGAGAAAAGCGCCAGTTTAGACGTGATTCTCCGGAAAATAAGCCCTTTTCCAGAGGATCTCTTATTCCTACTTTCAAGAGATCCTCCGGAAAAGGGCTTATTTTCCGGAGAATCACGTCTAGACTGGCGCTTTTCTCCGGCTTATCCCCAAGCTGGAAAAAAGCGGCAGCCATGTTAATGCAAATACCACAGGGGATATTTAAATCCCCCGCGGATTTTGCTATTCCGAGGTGTCTAATCTGCATCCCTTTTCCGGAAAAGGGGTGCAGTGTAGACACAGCCCTGGGGATTACAGTGGATGAGAAGCTAGACTCTACACTTGTCCTCGTTGAACCTCATCAGATTTCTTTTGGCCCAATCCTCCAGTTTGTCTAGGTCACTCTGGACCCTATCCCTGCCCTCCACCATATCTACCTTTCCCCCTAGCTTAGTGTCAGCCACATACTTGCTGAGGGTGCAATACATCCCCTCATTTAGGTAATTAATAAAGATGTTGAACAAAACTGGTCCTAGAACCTATCCTTGGGGCACCCCTCTTGAAACCAGCTGATAACCAGACATCGAGCCATTGATCACTACCCATTGGGTTGGGGATCACTGACCCACAGAGAAATCAGGGGGGACCACATAAGTGAGAAGGAAAAAACCCCCTCCAAAACCCCTCCAACCCTCACTGATGTAGCCCCCAACTGAAAAACCTCACTCCCTTAGTGTTCCAGACCTATGTGGGGGAGGACTGAGGTTCAAGGTTAACTCTTTTGGCGTTCCAGGATTAGTGGATTTTGCGGGACCCTTAGACTCTGGGGTGGGGCTAAAAATGAGGGATTCAGTGTGTGGGATGGGGTTGCCAGCGAGTGGGATAGGGATGGAGGTTTAGGATCTTGGCAGGAAGTGGGATGCGGGAGGGCCGGAGGGTGCACGGTTTGTGTTTTATTTTTTTCTTCCATTACACCTGAAATGATTCCAAAGCAGTGTCTGCAATGTCAGACTTACAGTAGGAGTCCCCAGGAAGTCATGAACTAATCACAGGCATAATCTATTTCAGGGAGTCAAATTAACACTTGATCTCAAACATCCTCAGCAACATCTTCCAGAGATGAACATCTTCAGCTTGTTTCATCACTGATTTCTAAGGCAGCACATGCTACTGACCTCTCCCTTAAAGCATTTGTCTCTGCAAAAGGTTCCAGATGTCAGTCAAAGGCTCTGCACATTTATGACCTCTACAAAGTGCAATATTGCAGGCTTATAAGACTCAAAATGAATAAACACCTTTGGCTCTCAGATGAACTTCTTTTATTCATATATAACTGGATGTGGTGACTTATAAGTCCAAGAGAAGCAAAAAAAAAAAAAAAAAAAAAAAAAAAAAAAAGCCATAGATGATGGTAAATACTACATTGATATGATTCTCCTCTATTACTAGAACTGTGAGATCTATATGCATTGCTAACTATGCACAGTCTTGCACTAGATCACACTTTCTAAAATGCAACATGTTGCCTTAATGGAGCCTGGAAGCTGAGAAAGTCTAAAACACAACCCAAGGAAATGCCCCTAACAAAGTACCTGATTAAATTTAACAAACAGTGACTTACCAAAACCTGTTTTACAAACCTCTTTACTCACACCTCAAGTCAGCACCAAAAAGGGACAAATTCCATCTGTGTTAATTATTTAAAAAGATAAAGGAGAAATTGGTCATATTCTTAGTTTGCAAACACATAATTGCAAGGGTTTTGTTACCGAGAGCTCAGTGTCCTAGTTATGCTTTTCCTTGCTAACCGCCAAACTTTCTGCCTAAGTCTAACACACCTGAGCACCAATTAGCTCCAACGTTCACTGCAAAATGGAAAGGGTAATAGGTAGTAACCCATCAATCAGCAGAGAGTAGAATAGAATATGCTTTCATCACTAATGTGCCCTCCTTCTCCTTGTCTGGGGCCATGAAGAGGTTAATTAAGAGGTTAATTAAGACTTACTAGTGACAGAGGATTACACTGCCAGCTGCCTTGTTCATCCCAACAAATGGGAACAAAATTTTCTCACCTGAGACGCATGACACCATCATCATGAAGGCAACAAAGACACTCATTATTTTCACTGTGAAGATGGTTTTCAGATCTGTGCTGAATCTCTATTAGTGCCGTGCTCAGGAGGTGCTGTCTGAAGAATCCCTACTAGCAGGACCCAGTAATCTGCTTGGTTGTGTATTTGCCATCAGTTGTTCTGTTGCACTGGACAATATGCTGTGCTAAAGGCTGATTACTCAATATGATGAATTTGATGTGTTGTCTGTCTTCCGAATTCATTCACCTTTAAAAGGTGTATAAGGCAGAGAGATCCCTTCCTCATTTTCCATTTTGTTGCAGATTTTGCCAGTGGCTTATTTGTAACCAGACTGATACATTTCCAGTACAAAATTTACTAAAATTGCTAAATGTTCTTAGTTTTCATGAACATTTCTTTTAGTGAACCTGTTTCCTGGAATATTCACTGAAAACAAGTGAAAAGGGGTACAAACAAATCCAGAACAAACGATTCAAGGGGCCAGTAAAACAAATGCCCTAGAAGAACTCTGAGGTATAAGAGCAGAACAGACATAACTGCTGGGCTGGAAAGAGATGTATAAAGAAGTGAAAAAGAGCTTCAGCTGGTTACAGATCATATGTAAATAGATACTGTGTGCAAAGACACTGATTTTGGGGTTACATAGTCAGTGTCATAGCTCCTGCACTCTTCTGTTTTCTTTCTTGTTTGCATATTATCTCTTATGCAAAATGAGATGTTAGGAGATAACAAAATAGTCTTTAACAAACGGACTTATCTAGGACTTAGTACTGGTATTTGTGGTGCATTGAAAATACTAAAATTGTAAACTATCACTTTAATTCCTCCTGGCATACTAGAGGCTGTTAGAAAGTGTGCAATCTGGGTCAGCAGCAGTCAGTCTGTGGAGGATCATCCTAGATCATTGGCAGGTTGAATGACCCTGTCTGTTTTGGGAAGTAGCCTGTTTGTGTGTTTCTGGTTTGGGGTTCCTGTGTGTTTGGGTGCTTAGTTCTAAAAAATTTAGTGCTACATTGCAATCTTACAGAAAGAGTATTTTATATTTGTATGTAACATCTCAGTGTGTATATCACGAATACAGCAGTATTATATAGTTAGTTCTATGGAATTATTGCTCTGGAATTATTTTTATACAGTGGAAAGACCTCAAATACAGCATTATTTGAGTCTATAATCCCTTCCTCTTCACAAAAAACACTGGACAAAAATTACTTTTGTTTTGCTTGTTTAATAAAGTAAACTCAAGAGATGGTGATGGAATAAGAGATCCTCCGGAAAAGGGCTTTATTCCGGAGGATCGGGCCAGTCTAGATGCTTTTTTTCCAGCTTTTCCCCAAGCCGGAAAAAAAGCGGCGGACATTTTTATTTAAATGCCGCGGGGGATATTTAAATCCCCTGCGGATTTCCCTATGCTGACTTACCTGATTTGCATCGCTTTTCCGTTTTTAGGGGCCAGTGTAGACGTAGCCCAAATGTTTAATGCTTTTATTGCCTATTCAAATTCTTCTAAATCCCAGAGGTACCTTGTTTATTGTCTGTTTGAGACTAAGGCTATATCTAGACTGCAGGCTTCTTTTGAAAGAAGTTTCTCCAGAGCAATCTTTTGGAAAAAAATTATTTTGAAAGAGAGTGTCCACACAGCAAAAGCACATCAAAAAAGTGATGTTCTTTTTCAAAAGATAGCATCCACATTGATTGGATGCTATCTCGCATTTAAGTTGTGATTACTATGGACTGAGTGATCACAAGGGCACATGTGCTTTTTCCTGGAGGCC